TCCCCCATTTTACGGCTCCTGGAGCCTGTGAAAGCCCTGAGGATGGGGGTCCTGGGCAGGGTGGAGTATGGCCAAGCAGTGGTCAAAACCTTCAACAAGAGATGCCAACAAGAGAGGCCCAAATCCCTGGGTCCGGAAAGCTGCTGTGCAAAGAGCCAGCCCTGCCGTGAGCGAGGCTGCTCCGCATCCGGATTCGGGTAAATAATAAATAATTTGGGCGGGAGAGGTGCGGTATGCCAGGAATGCTGCAGGCCTTCCAGGCTGCTGGAGCTGGGGAAGGCTGGGCAGGTCCGGTCCCTGGCAACTTTGACCCCCCCCCAGCAACTCCCCATGAGCTTCCCACCCAGTTTTCCCATCAAGGTGGAGTAAATGGAATTTTGGGGAACACAGAGCTGCTCCTGAGCGTGTATTTCCCCTCTCCTACGTAGCTGCACCCCAAATTGCTGCTCCAGGGAGCTGGGAAGGGCAACATTTTACCCAGGGGGGCACCACCTCCAGACCCCTTCCCCACAGCAGCACCTCTATCTCCCCCCATCGCATGGGGAAAAAATTTTTAAAATTACCCATAGGTCAATATTTGGAGTTTTTTTATTAAAATATTGTTATACCAAGTGGAATGCTACAGCAATCTCGGTATAGGGCGGCATAACGAAACAGCCAGGTTTACGTTTAAATACTTCAAGATAACTTAAAACGCACAAACAAGAACTCATCGTCTTTGGCAGGAAAAAGAAGTTCACAGCACGAAAAAAAATACTTAAAAAGAAATACCAATATTAATATAAAATATATTAAGTTGTGGGGGTTTTTTTCCTCTTTCATAACTTTTCGTTTGTTTTCCACTTTGTAAACAATGCACGAGAACTGAATGCATTTTTTACGTGTCTTGGAGAGAAAAATAAAAAAATGCAGTTGTCCAGCAAATGCACACATGTTTGAGGAAAGAAGGAAAGAAGGAAAGAAGGAAAGAAGGAAAGAAGGAAAGAAGGAAAGAAGGAAAGAAGGAAAGAAGGAAAGAAGGAAAGAAGGAAAGAAGGAAAAATATATATATATACACACATACACTAAGGGCAAGGATGGGCAGCGTCCATGCTCAGAGACATTGGTGCTGGCCACGGGCAGAAGCCAGCTGCCCGTAGCCCATGAGAGGGGTGGCCATGTACCCCCCGCCTTTGTCAGCCGTCCTTGCCTTGCTCTGAGCGCTTCGCCTCCAGCATCAAGGGGATTTCTCCTCCACCTTTAATTCCTTTGATTATTATTTTCTCTTTTGCTTGTCCACCCTTAATCCCTCACCTGTCTATGCTAAAAACCCAGAGGCAGGATGCAGATGATGGATGTAAGTGATGGATATCTGGGGCTCCCGGTGCTGGGCCACGTGGATCCAGGCAGTCAATGGGACCCACGAAGGATCCCTCCCAGCTCTCTCCTCATGCAAAAAAATTAGCTTTTGGGTAGTTTGGGCGAGCAGAGCGGAAAATTCCAGTTGGAGGCCAAGCACCTCGGTGCTTGGCGCGGATGGCCCAGACTCAGAGGTGGGACGGGGATGGAGCCAGGATGGGGATGAAGCCAGTGAGGGAGGGGATAGGAAGAAACCCCCCACCTCAGGAAGGAGAAGAGGCTGAAGCGATCCATACATCCGCTCCCATTGTACAAAACCCGAGTGCATTTACAGAGGGCTCGTGAGGCCCCGCCAATGTGGGGTCCCTGGGGTCCAGCGCGCCCCGCGCAGCTGGGGGGACCCATGTGGGCACCGAGCGGGGACGGTGGTGGCCCTCCCACGCATGGGGCCACAGTGACACCGCTGAGCTCTGAGCTCGTTCCTCCTTCCCACAGGCTCCTCCATCCCAGGCAGGAGGGCAGAGGGGCTGGGGTGCAGCCTCAAATCAGGATTTCCACCATGTCAGACAGGTCCAGGGCTCTGGCAGCAGCTGAGCTCTCTGCAGAAAAAGGAGGTGAGAGCTGGAGGGGAGGTGACGAGCCCCGGCATGGGCCCCACCCCACCGCAGGGCCAGAAGTGAGCATCAAGCCTCCCCCCAGGGTGCTCAAGAAAAAACCTTTGCACCTTAAAAATCAAAAAAGCAAGGAGTGATCGCAAGGATTCAAACCCACCAGACTCCAGTGGGGTCTTTAAAATGCCTTAAAAAAAAATCACAAATCCTTGTGCAGAGCCCATCTCCTAGGTGCCAAGTGGATCTCCCAGGTGCTGAAGCATCCCCACTTCTCCCAGTGCCACCCCAGGGCACTCACCCCGCTCGGTGTCCTCGCCCTGGCCACTGCTCTCAGCTGCCCCATCCGTCTGCGTGCTGCTGTCCTTGCTGCCGTGCTTGGCATGGGAGGGCAAGGGAAGGGTGGTGGGCACTGCTGCTCCTTCAGCGCTGGCTTTGCCTGCTGGAGAAGATGCTGTTAGGGATTGTTGGCTTGCTGCGGCGAAATCCCCCCTCCCGAAGTTCTCTAAATCACAGGGGAGACTGGGGGCAGCTTTGCACTGCCATGCAAAGGGGCTGGTCCCTCAGTTTACCTGTGCTGCCCCGTGCGCTGCCCTCGGCCAGGCGGTCACTCTGGCCAGCCCCTGGCCAGCTCGGGGCGGCCGAGGCAGTGAAGACAGAGGGGACAGACTTGGCCGGCCGCAGGGAACCCTGCAGGGCTTTGCTGGGGTCCCTCCGTGAGCGCTGCTGCAGGACCTTGATGACAGCATCCTTCTCCAGGATTTGGGCATGAAGGGCTTTCAACCTGGAGAGGAGAAGAGGCAGAAGATGGGAGAGGAGCTGGAGAGAGCGGAGCAGGACATGGGCAATGCTTGGCCAGACCATGGCTCAAGGTTGTGGGCGAGGGGGACCAACCTGTTCTCCATCTCCTGGTGCTTGTGGCTGGGCAGGAGTCCTCGTTGAAGCTGCTGTTGGGGGAGTGCTGCGGGGAATGGCTGATGAGGGTGGTGTCGCGCTGAGCGGCCGCGGTGGCCGCTGCGTCCATGGCGAACTGCCGCATGGTGCACTCCTCCAGGTACTTCTGCTCCCACTTGGTCATGTCAGCCTCCAGGGCCAGGATCTTCTCCTCCTTCTCCCGCAGCTGTTCCAAGAGCATGTGGGCACTCAGCTCCGGCATCCCCCCACCCGCAGCACTGGTCTGCCTCTGCAACAGCGTAAAAAATACCCCAAAAGAGAGGATGAGGAGGTGCTGGGAGGATGTGGCACCCACCGTGCCC